GGGGGGGTAAAGAACGATGCATTAGAGTGTAGAAAGCAGATTAAGCATTACACTACTGAGAGCACGGGATCTAGCAGAGGGCGTAAAACACTACTGTTGATACGGGAGAGTAATTATAAATGCAGATTAGACACAGTCGGATCACATGAATGCCCCCGATTACGAGTAGAGATAGGAATGAATACTAGGATAGTGGGGCGACAACCAAATTCTGCGCTAGCGAGAATTACTTTAACTAAATTAATAATATGGTTGTCACGGTATACATTTAAATACCCACTTTCTACGAAAATACGTTAAGTAAAAACGTAATGTAGCTGCTCACTCAATAAACTTTAAAACTAAGATGCGAATATTACAGCAGAAGACTTTAAGAATAAAGTTTTAAGTTTTTACGATGATATATTAGAAAAGTAGCTCCAGAATATGATTTTTCAGGAGAAGGTGGATGCAGAATGTCACATTTTGGAACAGATCAATGGTGAAAGAATATATACATTTTACACTCAATAAGCACGAGACGATAGACACTTAAGGATTCGAATTGAGAATTTAATTTAAGGAGTTTACTGGTATCACGAACATTCCATAAATCAAGTTTGTAATGAGATAAAAGCAGGCATCCGAGATTATTCCATATGAGTTTTAACGCAATTTAATAATAATTGAAAGTCAATTGTATGGACAAATCAGCTAAATTTATCAGCGTTCAGGTTTGCCAATTCTGAACAAATTGAACATTTGATGCCGACAATCAATGGCATTAATTTACTATATATGGTGATAAACAAATAAATTGCCATATGCGGGAGAAATGCCATCATATTGACAAGACGGTAATGTTAGTAGGCTATAAGAGTAAGAAAATCAATAAAATCACAAACACCGTAACGGTTCACATAAGACATGTCTCAGTATAAAAGAAGACGTACGATGGAAAGAATTCATCTATTGATTTTGCAAGAATATTCGTAATAATTAAGAATTTAATTCCAACAGTTTTAGCGACAAGCAAAATAAGTACAAGCCTAATAGCAGATTTACGCACAAGGGAAAAGGATACGGTTATGCTGTAAAGCAAAATTTAAGACAAAGAATGCACCAAAAAGTAGAAATCGGTTAAAAATGTTGATGAATTCTCGAACAAATTGTTCCACCAAAGCAAATATACTCATATTGTTTGTAGGCAGCAGTTGGTATTTACAAGAGACTGAATTTTGTTAGAATCTCCGCCAAAAAATTAATGTGCATTGGCGTTAATACATGGACATTTTTCGCAAAGTGCACAAAAAATCGAAGCAAATTTTCCGAAAAGAGAGGCAATCGATTGAAATTGGGACAAAAAATAGAAACCAAAATAGTATGATCAGAGGATCAATTATCCATTAACGCTTAAAATATGACATCAACGACTTTGCCAGGAAATAGATAAGAACAGTGAAATAGAAATATCATATCCCGAAAATATCCAAATATCACCAAGAGAGTGTAAAAAGGTCAAGAGAAGATTTAAGGTTAAAGATAGAGGGAGAATATCCCAAAATTATAAGCATCATAAATGAAAAAATAAATTATGGTAATGAAATTTTTATAATTTCGGTTAAACGATACATCAGTCATTTATTTTCCATGAGTAAGCCCAAAAATTCCAAACATTTTAATTAACGCATAGGGAAATAAATTATTTAATTCTTTAAACAGTAGTCGATTTCATCGAAACTTGCAGTTATGGTGAATCGTTTATTAAAATGACCATTAATTTAAATAGCAAGTAAAGTAGAGCATTTAGGTAATTTAATGATAGCTCATAAATTAACTAAAATAAACAAGTGCATTTAAGTTGAAAGAGAATATAGATATTTCAGAAGTGACTGATAGCAGGTAACAGCGAAAAGAACCCGAATTTCAACAATAAAATTGTGGGTAAATGGATTGAATGGTTAAGTTAAAAAACTTTCCAATACGAAACAAGGCGTTGAAAGTAAGCTGTAGTACTATAGAATTACCGTAAAAAATAATATTGAAGCTTAAAATGACAAGATGCAATGTTAAAATCTGCATAAAAAATTCAAATTGCTAGGGTAACGAAATATTCATCAGAACTCAAATGTTAAAAAGCGGTTAGGGAATAACCGGAATAACATTTTTAGAAGTTATACTAACAGTGACAATGTGTGTTAAAAGTGACATTTCAAAACGGATACAAACATTGAAAGGGAATTATATTGGATTAAGCTTAGGAAACTTCGATAATACCGGAAATTACCTCATAATTTAACTACAATGCGACCATATTATAATCCAAAAAGAGAACAGAAACATCAAGGCATAATATTGCAATAATTACACGAAAACATACCCAACACCCAATGAAGAACTATTAGAATAGATATTAGTCGGGGTACTTCTATTTAACTCATTCATAGAACCATGGGTTTTATCTTTATTTGAAGGAGAATGGTCCTTTCCAAAGGCACTTCTGAGGTAATTGGCAAATCTTGAGAAAGGACTTCGAGATTTTGCTATTGAAGTAATGTCATATAATTTGGACTTACATATTTTATTTTCATCTCTATGAGACATTGTTAATAAATCCCGGAAAACCGAACTCCAGAAGAATCTGTGAAATATCAGGCGCCTATAACCTTGGAGGTCAACCAATTCGATTTTTGGTTTTCAACAATGACTAAATAAAATTGTGCTTCATTTAAAAAGTTATTATTAAACATATCTAAAACAGAGTTATTTTGAATATATTCATTAATATAATCTATAAATGAATAATTTAGTTATAATACAGTAGTTTAAGTAGTATAACAAAGAATTAAATCATCTAATTGATTTCTTTCTAGAGTCCCAGAAGAGCATGTAATGCCTTGAATCTTATTCTCTCATTTTCGTAACTATGATCTTTCTGCTTTGATTGTGACATACTTTGCCGTTATTAGTTTTGAAAATAAATTTTGATTTGTACTTGGGCTAATATATTAATTAATAACAACTTCATTTCTTGAGGAATTAAATTCATAATATATTATGATGAACGTGACATTGTAATTGGACATCTATCCTCTTTTAGTAATTTCCACAGTTAATGCACCGAACTCCGCTCTTTAGCATTAGCTAAAACATATTTAATGAAATATCTCTGTTAACTGTGGTTCAAAACTGGCCAACATACTAATGAACAGAGAAATCCTTTCAAAGTATGAACATATTGACAGGCATTGCACAAAGGATTTCGATACTTGCAAAAATTAATAAGTAATGAAAACTGGTTGAATTCCTGTGGATTGTTACTCGAAGAGTTTCATTAAAGAGACAAAATATATTTGAAAAAAACAAAAGATATCCTACAGATTTGGATATTTTTCATTCTCGTTTAGTTTCATAAATTATCAAACGCACAGCATTGGTAGCAGTTCGTGCGATTCATGATTGATTATCTGTTGTCGGATAATTTAGAACTGTGGGACACGTTATCGCTGTGTGCGTCATCGTATGCCTGCATGTCTGCTCGCCAGGATTGGGAGGTGCGGCCGTACAAACAGTGGCCAATCATTAACCTCTGTTTAACCTAATCCCCCATCCTGATCATGAGTAGCTCCCTGCGTGTACACTTTATCCGCAATGTATGTACTGAATAAGCGTGCTCCGTGCTACACGTCTGTTTCCTTTATAGTTGGGCTATAGGTTAGGTTGTTCTGGGAGTCTAGCTAGATGTTGGAGAATCTGCCATAGAGATTTCTGAGTCGGTCAGGCTTTACTAAGGTAGCAATCCGCTACAGAACCGTCTTGAATGGTTGGCATAATAGTCATTAACCGATATGCAACGAAACAGCGAATTAATTGCTGTCCCAGTCATTTCAAGCATTAGAGCAGCAAAAATTGATTCGGACTAAGACGTTTTAGAAACGTGAAGTAAAAGTAGGGATTAAGTAAAGTCGTTGGAAGCACTGAAATTTTAATAAGAGGTTGTCAACTCTGTGAATAAGAGCGCCGAGACAGTTGACAAATTTTACGGTTTTGACCATTGTTGAGCAACTGACAACAAAGACCTAATTACTCCGTATGAACTGTCATTGGCCCACTTTACGCTCATTTGGTGCCCTACCTAAAATTCTCCAACCCAATCTCCAGGTCTTACACTATACCGATTCTACTGTTTCTTGTACTTTAAACATCTTTAAGTGATATGCACACCACCTATGGCTATGAATCCGAGATAATTAATCAGATTTACAATTTCAGCGCCAATCCTAAGTAGAAAAAAACAACGGATCCCCCTCAGCCTAGAATCGTGCTCCTTTCTATATACCAATATTTGTCCGACGTACCCCAATCTTATAAGTCTCAAAAGCATTAAGAACTTTTTTACTTTAGAGCATATACACTGCCAATAAACAGCCATCATTTGAGCCACAGATTTTCTACGTAGAGTCCTAAAAATTGCATGACGACAATAAAAACTGTTTAGACCCACCCGCTCTCAGTCCACAGATCCATGAAAAATGATTATAGTATGATATAAAGAACACAAGATGCCCTCCAAACATTCCTATTAAAGAGAATGGAAGATTCTATGGCCGATATAGTACTAGTAGCCTTGATAGATTTGCAAACAAAACGCCAAGAAAAACCAAAGAACTATCCGTAATCCAGTTAAAACTGATCAACCATAAAAATACAGAACACTTCACTTCTTCCTCCTCCTTTTTTTCTTGCCTCCTGTACCAGAGGTATTTACTGGAGCAGCAGGTTTCCCAAGAATCTCAGGAGTTTCAGGCCCTTCAGCAGCCCCATCGGTAGATTTTGGCGAATTTTTGGGAGGAGTGCTTTTCTTTGCAACAACCACACTCGTAGGCGATCCCCCTTTCGTCTCCTTCAGATTCAAATTTACCATTGTAGTGACTAAATCACCTTTTTGTTGGTCAATTGGTGCCTTGTTGACAAAAGGAATCATCTCCTTCAGTCCTGTACAGAAAGATAGCAATTTTAGATAGGAACAAAGGACCAAGTAAAACGAGACTATTCTAGTGTAGAAACGAACCATCAGGCATGAATTCGCGAAGAGCTTCTGGAACAACAATTCCATCGGCAGTTTGGTAGTTTTCAAGGATAGCGCAAATGACACGAGTGGTAGCACACATTGTGGCGTTTAACATGTGCACGTACTCAACCTACAAACAACAAAAACATCATATCAAAACTTAAGGATAACAAGTTAATCAATTTAGGAAAACGACTACATACATCCTGGCCCATCTTCTTCGTCTGACCGAAACGAACACCAAGACGTCGTGACTGGTAGTCTGTGCAGTTGCTGCATGACACAAGCTCCCGGAACGCCTTTGATCCTGGATACCAACCCTCTAAATCATATTTCATTGCTGCAGCATTGTTCAGTTCACCAGAAACGATCGAGACAACGCGGAATGGAATACCGAGGGTCTATAATGTGAAATAAAGATAATGACATTAGCAAAATTACTGGGAGAACAGGAATAGAAATTGAAGTAGGGGACAAACCCTGTAGAGATCTTCCGAGGTTGTAATCATTTCGTTAAACATTTCCCAGGAAGCATTGTCATGAGGTGAAGTGATACAAAATTGTTCAATCTGAAATTATATCAATAACAAAAAAAAATAAGAACATACTCATCAGGTACTAGAATATCCCTATCAGATACAATTCAATTAGACAACCTTTTCGAATTGATGAACTCGGAAAATCCCACGAGTATCACGACCATGGCTTCCAACCTCTTGACGGAAGCAAGTAGAAATGCCAGCATATCGAATGGGAAGATCAGCGGGAGACATCCATTCACCGCGATGGAAAGCTGCGATTGGCTGTTCCGAAGTAGCAATTAAGTACTTAACTTCTTCCTCCGCGTCTTTTACTTTGTCTGCCGTGGTCTCACGTTTACCGGTGACTTTATAGAGCTCTTCGTCGAATTGTGACAACTGAGCGACCTCTTGCATCACCTCCTTCCGCATAAAGAAAGGTGTGTAAAGGGGTGTATATTTACGTTGATAGAGAATTCTCAGCGAGAGATTGATTAGAGCTTGTTCAAGGAAAACCAGAGGACCCTAAATTAAATAGAATAGAGAGCAAGTCCAACATGAGGGGAGGGGGGGGGGGGTTAGATAAAACAACACATTGATTATGCCCACCTTCAAGAAGTAACCCCGATTTCCGGCAATGGCTGTACCACGTTCTCCATCAAAGCCATCAATCATAGTGACCAAATCGACATGGGAATACTTCTTCTCAATTGTCGAATCACCGAAAGTTCGAATGACTTCGTTATTTTCTTCATCGTTTGAGATGGGAACCTTGTGGTAGAGAATATTACCAATTTCGTAGACAAGTTCGTTACGAGTTTTCTCGAGGTCATCCGAAAGTTTTTGTTGCTTTTTAATAGTATCGTCAATATAAGTGGTCAGGGACTTGATTTGAGCGATATCAAGCCCTTCAATTTGTTCTGGGGTGAGTTCAATTACGTCAGTCAGGATCTCCTTAGGAAGAGAGGCATCATCACCAGCAGGAGCTTTAGCCTGAGCAAAGTAAGCAAGAATAAGTTTTTTTCAAATACCTTAATCTTTCTTCCGATGGTTTTACTACATGTATTTTTAGAGCGATTTAAGCGATCACAAGCATAGCGAGCTAGATTATAAAATGAAATCACAATAGAACGCCATGATACCTTTTCGCCATTGTTCATCAAGATCAATGATCTTATCAACAACACTAGGATCCTTATATCGATCTTTTTGACTCTTTTTAATTATTTCGGGATCACCCCCCTTATCTTTTCTAAAGAGATCGAGTGAAAGCACCATTGACAGGAAAGCACCAAAGTGTGCACAGGTTGTATAAATTGTTCGCGCTCCGCGCGTAAATATTCGGTCAAGATTATATATTTATAAAACTTCAACAAAAAAATGTAAAAAAGTCTTAAATATGTCGATTTTTAATTAAACAAAATATTAATTATTATTCTGAAAAAAGCATTTTAACTTGTCAGTGATATATTTAGTGTCATATTTTATTAAAAAAGATAATATACACTTTTGCCCAAAACTGTGTATATCATTCAAATCTTCGAATATTTGTTGCTTTGTAGCATTATAAGGAAACAATCTTCTGATTTGACAAAAAGAACAAATATAAAATGGCGATCAATGTAAAAAACACCTTTGATGGAAATTTCACTGACACAATTTTCTACATTAGCTTATTGCTATGGATTTTGAAGGCTCACTTCATTAGGAGGCATAAAGCGATATTTTTTAGATAATCCGTTTGTGGTTACTTCGAAATTTCTTTGTATTCAGGGAGGTATAACGCATTATTATTTCAATCTTTATTGTTTCAGTGAGATTGCTGTGTTAAATCAATTTGTATGCTAGAGAATACGTATTTTGCCATCACAGTGGGAAATTCAAGATAAAATTTATTTCCTATTTTTAACGGCCTTAATTAGCTATACTAGAGGTTTGCTTCTTTAATAACTCTACGTGGCTTTGATTTATCTGAACTTATTGGAACTGGAAAGGCACATACTGTGTTTAAAGATGATAATGTCATTTGTGAATTGTAAGTTCTATATTTACATTAATTTTCGTTATCCCGTAGAAAACATTTGCTTGGTAATGAACGGTTAGTCATTTGACGTCTATTTCAAGCCATACATCAAAATATGTAATATATATCAAATCCTAATTTCCAATGAGTTTTAAATAATTTATTTAAATTAGATGGCAGGCTTTATGATAGTTATCACTAGCCCTTTGGTTGACTTCGGGCTTCACAAAGAGGAGGAACATCAAAGTCATAAGAGGTGGAGATATAAAGAGAAGACTTATTCACAGGTGCAAAAGAGACAGACAGACAAGAAGGTAGGGAAAAGTTAAGGTGAGTACTACGGAAGTGATGGAATATGACATGCAGTGGAGCCATGATAGATTGGAGTCAGAATTCGACTGCCTTTTTTGTCCAATGGGTATACGTAGCTCAAGATGAGCCACGTGGAGTCAATTCTATTGCTCACTCCAGCTTTAAATAAAGTACGGCTCTAAGCTATAAATGGCTCAAAATATATCGATTGTCATTAATATAACATGTATCGTTCTCTTTTCTCAACGTAGAGTATGCTACAAGTGGAACCGGTTTAATTATTCACCTTTAATTCTATGGACAAAATTGCACATTTCTTTCATAGAATGATGTAAATGATTTTAAGTAAGAAAACTTAGGTTGGTTATTACCATATTACACATTCTAAATATGCTAACACGCATGGTCATTGACTTAAATTTTTAAATTTCATTTTTTGGAGTCTATTTATGATCTATTGCGTCACTGGCCATTTAATAGACTAAATGTAGACTAAATGATGGCTTCTATTTCCGAAGCTCAAATTTAAAAATATGTTTTACGTTGCATTTCTCACTTACATTTTATAAACGCTCTGTTATAACATTGTTACTAAAAGTCTTCATTTCTAGATTGTTAATGAACTTCACCATTTAGCTTAAAAGACATTAAGGTATTCGTAACGTTATTTCTGTTTTTGAAGATTTTAATTTGCTTTTGCATTTAATCAGGTTACAATGTTTATTGGTCAATCGATCACAAGACCCAGATAATGTTTACCTAAAGTCCAGGTTGGTCCATAGTAAACAACGTAAAACAGACGAAAACTTTGATTTGAAGTTAGAATTACATTTTCCAACTTTTGGACAACGCATACAATCATAAGTTACTTTAATGTTTCTCAATGAAATTTAATTTCATTGTTTTTATCAACAGTTGCATTATTGCCGGACTTTTGCCGCAGTTAAGTAAGAAACCAAATATTTTAAACTTATTTTAAATATTCATTTATAATGGTCGAAATTATATCATTATCATATTTGAATAAATTTTTTAACTTTGTGCAAGCCTTATATCTCTATGAATAAGATTGGCCTAAATTCATACTTCTTTTCATAGTTATTATAATTATTTATTCTCTCTATTACTGTAGAGAATAGAATTTGATAGCAAACGTATTTATATATTCACATCCATTGGTTTGGTCATTAAGAATAATGATGGGTGTATCGTTCATTAATTCTTTCAGTCTAAGGCAAATCCGCTTTACTTAATCACATTCTATTGTTATTCTGTGTTGAAATATATTTTTTCATATTTTACTTTCTATTTATTGCAAACTCGTGCGATCTGATCAATTTTTAGTGAATTTCTAATTTGGTCGTAAGGTTGTAGCTACAAATTCATATAAAATATATCATATTTCATTAAAAAATAACATGCTATTTAGCTTCGGGTGTTGCCTGCTACGTTTGTGTATCAGTAAATGGCAGTAATCCTGAATGTGAAGATCCTATGCACGGATCTGTGTATACCGAATCTCCATGTCGTCAAGGGAAATTCGGATTTGAAGGACTAGCATACGCTCCGTATTGTGCAAAGATAAAGGGTCGACGTGTTAGTGATGATGTTCAGATCTACATTCGACGATGTTCCATGCAAAAACTGGGAGGTATTCCAACCCATTGCGGACAATTTCGACTTTCAGATGAACTTTATCACGGATGTATTGCGACATGTACTCAAAATTGGTGCAATTCCTTGCCGAAAATCTCATATTCACTTCCAATAGTTATCTTTGATATCATATTCACAATCCTCGTTTTAGAATAAAATCGTATGAAATCCAAATTTTGCACAAAATGTTCCATTTTCTGTTTCTTCCGTAACATAATCAAAACAGATAGCCTGAAATAAGTAAGACAATGATTAATGTCAATTTGACGAATTTGACATCTTAAAAAATTATTATATAGATCGCAAAATAAAATGTTTCATTTCATTTTATTAATTATCCACTTCAGCAGAAATCGAAAAGAAAATAAAACGTTCAAAAATATTCCATCATTATAGTGGAAAGTGTGATATCTTTCTGAAATAATCCCTAAAGCGTTGCGATTGCGTTAGATAATAAAAATCTATCATTCTGACACTTAAGGAATGAGAAAACGTTCTTTCAATTTAATTTAAACTGCATTCTTATTTTGAATATTATTTCAAATTAATTAACATTGTTTTATATTTTAACATTTGGTCATAAAAATGTGTTTGAATTTTACTGGAAGAATGAAAAAGGAAATTCAAATTATAAAAAATTTGGCATCATAAGTACCGAGATAAATTTCGCAGTAAGTAAGTTTAATAAATAGAAAATAAGTTTAACCAAGTTTTGTGAGTAGTTTGGAGGATAGTGGGTTACTATCGTAGTTATTCAGCTAAAAGCCGCACTGGTAAAAGTATTTCTTCATGCAATATTAATGATTTTCGAATCATTAACGACTTCGCCAACTGAGAAAGTACTATTCGTCTTTCTAGATTTATTTTAGGATTGTCTGATTGGACGGATATAATTACGTTTTCCCAATTCCATTCGTTGAACATTTATCGAACCCCAAGAGGTCTAACAGTAAAATTTACCATGCTACCAAGAAATGCTATTATGCACACAGACGTTAGTAGAATTCTTAGAATTTGAAACTTCAAGACCTCAGGAAAATTTGGTTCCACTGGCGTTGACATAAAAGATACATGATTGAAAAAGGGATGTACGATTTTGTATTTTTCCATCACTTTAAATTTTTGCATTAACTGTGTTCATGTGTTATTTCAGGTAATTATTGGAACTCCGCTTAAGTGTATTTCAACGTGCGCATAATTAAAATACCGATTTTGCAGCATTACTCCATCTGTATATTCTCATTTCATTTGTTGGTCGAATAATATCAGAATTTAAAATGAATACATTAGAAAGAATTTTAATTTTAATTTAATTTGAATCACGTCCCTATGCGAAAATTTTGTAACATCTGAATAAATAAGTCAAAGGATTAAGATTAAATTTATGAAACAATACACCATTAATCCCATGGTAAAGTAAACTAAAAATAAGTAAAATGAGTAATCTTTTTAAATATATGTTCATTATCTTAAATAACGCAAAAATAGTTCCTTCTTAACAATGTAATTCAATGAATCTTATTTGATAAAATATGGATAAAAGCCGTGTTAAGAAGTTTTGACATTTTAAAAAAGTAGATTATTAGGGTTTATTAGTTGTCTTTCCTGCTCTTGTGTAAATAGATAATATGAATATGAAAGTTTGTTAAAAGCTATTACATTGAAGCCGGCTGCTTTGGTAATTTTATCTCAGTATGAATTCTCGTATTCCTTTCAAAAATGATGGAAGCTTTATGGAGATATTTAAGCAGCTACAAGGTAATCATTTAAGTGAATAATTATTCTGTAGCTGAACAGGAGCGCGCAGCCATTGGAGCTAGTGTAACTCCTAGTTCTTCAAAGGTATGTGAATATTTATCTTAAAGTATCCTTAGCCCTATAATAGTACTTCCTCAATTACCAAAGCGTAAGTTCTGACAATTATGTGTAACCCATTTACAGGCCTTTTGACTTGGATGTCGTTCTTCCTAAAGGTAAAGAAATCTCTTTACTTTTTCTGTTGAAAAATCAACTCTATTTACTGATTCCAACACTTCCAGTACCTCCTCCTGAAGATCACAAGGATATCATTGCTATTGAAAGCCTGGTCATGCGAGTAGCAGGACTTCCTCAACCTTTAGCAGATTCAGAAATTGCTAAATTCGATGACAGTATCCAATATTGGTAATTAACAATTAATTTACTAATTATATTCAATATAAGGTTTTTGACTGTTACAGATTCTACCGAGTACAAGTATTTTCAGAAACGACTACAGGATGAGATTATAAAAAGGAACAAAAGGACTGAAGGTATTTTAAGTCAATTTATTAAGAGGAATCTTTACTTAAGAAGTGGAAGCTAGTAAAGTTGATTATAAACTTTCGGATATTCAACTTCCGCCTGATCAACCACCCCCACTACCGAAGCCAACTTCGGATGAAACGGAAGTCAACCCAGAGAATAAACTTAAAGCAGAGCCTATAGAAGAAAGTGAACAGAAGCTTCTAGCACCGCCAAGAAAGAGGAAATCTAGGTGGGATGCTGATCAAGCAATAAAAAATGAACCCATTGAAGAGAAACCATTGAGTGACATCGAGGCCTCTGTTAAAGAGGCTGCAAGAATTGCTGCACAGCTAGCTGCTTCTGGTTAGTTTATTTCTGCTTTATGATATTTTATTCATTTGCCAAACGTATAAGCCTTCATTTCAATTCATTTCTTCATTTGGTTTATTTTATGCATTTGTCGCTTTAAGTGATTTTATTATTTCGTCGATTAGATTGGAACGTTCTGAGTAGACATTTATCTGAAACAACTCGAGTGTGTAGTTGCTCTCCATCAGCTTAATTTTTAGTACTATTGAATCGTTTATGTTGTATAACATGTGCAAGTCTTCCGATTTGCTTATCAGTTATGTTTCATTTAAGCTTTATTTGAGTTCCCATTGTTTAAAATCTACCGTCGTGTTGTTTTTAGTTTATTTTCCATCAAGATTGAATGGCCTGTTTTATCGTAAATTCCGAGAAAGTGAATTCCACTGTTTATTTGTTCAAAAAGATCTCTCCTGATTTTATTGACAATGGTCGTAATTTTTGGTCTCTGTGTTAACCAATAATTTGTTGTGTATTGAAATTTACGGTTATTGGATTCATTTTAATATCTCTTTTTTGGACGTGGACCATTGAACTATCATAATGACATATAATTGTCATTCATAAACTCTGCGTTAATTCGTTTGATAGCCCTCTGTGTTTCATTAATTATTGACACAGGTTGTTTTTTTCAAATCGGGGGTCTTTTGGCATTCATGTAATTAGCTATTTACGTATTATTAAATAAATAATTTAGGTAATGGTTTTTTGTTAATTTACTAAAACAGCTCACTATTTCATAATCCAAAGGGTTCCAGGCTCTCGACTCCAGATCTGCATCTTGAACTTGTTTTACTGGACCATTTTGTTATCTTCGGTAGTGCTGAGGGAATTGAGAACCATGTCTCTTATTCTTTGTTTCTTCAAGTTTTTGTCTTTAATTTTTAGGTGCCAAAGCCCCAAAACCTTTCCCTTCAACTTCCGCGGCACGTCAATTAGTCGGTGGTGCTGTCCTTAGCGACGAACAGATTAAACAAATTCAATATCAGAAGGAGGTGAGTTCATGCGTTTTGTTGAAACTTATCCGAAATCACCCACATCCGCACCTCTCTTGTGCCAGTATTCACCCGCCTTTACTTGAGCACAGCTTCAAGCCATGCATGAGTTCATATTGGCTCAGCAGAAGCTCAAGGCACAAGAACAGGAATTGATGAATTCTATTGCCGGGGTCAATTACTCCAAAAAAGCAAAGAAAGTTGTGGATGGATTGGAAGTCAAGTATGAATATGATTCCGATGAGGATTGTGAGGGTGGAACGTGGGAACACAAACTTAGAGCTGCAGAAATGGAAGCTACTAGAGGTATAATTCCACTTTCTCTCGATTCTCAAATGTCGCCTTCATTGCCACTGGTAGTTATTGTTTTTTTTTGATAGAATGGGCTGAGAAGCTGACAGAAATGGGACAAGGAAAACATCATATTGGCGATTTTCTGCCACCAGATGAATTGGAACGCTTTATGGAGACCTATCGTGTAAGTCTGACTTATCTAATAAAAAAACTGCATAGTCGATCATACACTGGGGCTTTATTAGCCGCATAACATCTTACAAACAAGACTAATGCATTGTATATGATTTTCCATACTAATCCTTTTAATATCCAACCTTTTGAACCCGGTATTCTGTTCATTCATTTCGCGCTATGTTTGATGCATTTCTCATACTCTAAGGTGTTTATCTCTTCTATTTACGCTATATAGCTTTTTATTTATGAGCTTTGTTCTGCTACTTTTCATATATTCAACGTATCTGTTATGAGACCATCTTCTTCCCTCTCTCCAAATATAAAAATTCGACACCCATCCCTATCTCCTAACCATCTTGTGGTGGTTAGGTTCGTAAAGGCAGGGCAATATATTTGCTAGTATTCTATTCCAATGATTTTTGAACTAGGCCATCAGTTGTGATAAGCGATTAGCTGTAGTCTACTTTCTTATCCATCCCATATATTCACTCAGACTAACCAAGGGCATAATTAACCAACTCTACTCAGCGTATCGCAATTTGACCTCTAACGCCATCCCATTTCGGTTCACGCTGCGCGGACGCTTGTTCCTCTTTCGTTTTCATCCTCCTTATACATTTTTTTCTTATTTCTTGACCTTGTCCAATGTGTCCGTGATCTGATTCGATTCGAGGCTCCATTATTTGGGACTGCTGTTTCTTCCTCTTGACCTTCACGAGTTTTTGAAGATGCCTTGGTGGGTTTCAAATGTTAAAAATGGAATTACTCTAGGTAGGAAGCCCACCAAGATATCTTTAAAAACTCGTGAAAAATCTGAGCAGTTAAATTACTTAAGTTTTCCCATTAATTAGGCTTAGATTCATCTTGCAAAATAATGCTTTTTTCCAAAAAGCTAATTAGATTGATAGCTGGATCGAGAGCACAAGGGTATGTTGGATCACCACAAGGTATAAGGGCGGACGGGGAGAAGGAAGGGAGAAGTTAATCTTTTGAAGGGCAAAGGATAAGCACATCAGCATGGTGTAGGCTAAAAACGGGATCGTAATAACCATTTACGCCTGTTTTGTATCCTTTGTTCGTCTGATTAGTAGTCAGTTGGGAAAGTACAGACGTATAAACCAGTATGTGCTCTCATTCGATTACTTAAAACCAGGAGATTAAAATATGGATTATATAAATGTAGTAAATACTAAATATTGGGAATTACAGCGTGCAAATCGTTTAGTAGTTCACAAGAGGCGTTGAAAGTGTTCATCATGAACTTTGATACGCAACTCGGCATATCTTAACTTGTTTTGGAAATTTTTTCATCGATTCATTTGGTGTGATCTTCACAATCTTATTGCGAATTTCGTTTTGCATAGTATGTAGATTGCAATGTTTGCACTACCCTTACTCTCTACTCTCAAATGTCACTTCGTAATCATGTTCTGTCATTACGCCGGTTTGAAGCTGAGTTTGGAGGACAGACGTCTAGTTAATTCCTGTGGACCCCTTAGAAGAGCCCCGTGAACACATTGACTTTTTTCGGAGATAATCGTGTAACTCAGCTGTGTTTTGCATTATCGACTGAACTTTCTGTTCTAAATCTCGCAATAATTTTCTGGGCAACTGTCTGTGGATGTTTTATGGTGAACCTATTTGCATGCCAGATAACTTTCAACAATAGGCATCGAAAACGTCATTATCCAGGTCTGTTTTCACAGCCCTTATTAGCTGGTGACAACACGGCACAGCACAAAATAGTTGTGGAACATCATGTAACCCCACCAAACCCTTACTATCACTTTCAGTATGATGTAGAACACGGGATCTCTTCTATCTCGTCCATGCAGTATTTTAACTTACCAAATAAATAAACTCTTTCACTGCATACCTACTTGGTGACTTCTTTTAGGCCCTCAAAGAAGGTCGTGAACCGGATTTCAGCGACTACAAGAACTTCAAGCTTACATGCGAGAATGTTGGTTACAAAATGCTGGAGAAAATGGGATGGAAGGAGGGCGAAGGTCTGGGACCCACCGGTGAAGGAATTGTCAATCCTGTTGACAGGTAAGTCAATTTCTTTCTATTATGCCGTTCGTTTTCGAAAACGCTCCTATTCAAATAAGATATACCCTTGAATGTGCTTATGCACGAGCGCTGTGGTGTACAATCTCATGTGATATAACAATCGTTTTAAAAGGTTGGATCAAATAGGCGAAATGAGTACGTAAATGAAATTTAAGAGACATATATGTTCTATAAGAGGCTGTTGCTCCCCCCTCAACCTCAGCTACACCACAGGATTGGAAAGTGACAGAGATAATGGTAAGATATTCATACTTGAAGATTAATAGAAATTTCGAGTGTAACTGATTATTTTAAGCTCAAGATGTACATGTTAGATGAAGTGGGAAAAACGCTTAAGGGATGAGGGTTGAACCGTACTTAGAACTGCTTGAAGAAGATAGAAAGTAGAACTTACTCGATATTTATCCAGCTACCAAGTCTCCACAATTAAGACTCGGGTGGCTAAAGACGACTTTTAGGGACGGGCTTTAGTCAATTATATTCATTTGCACCAGAACTGTGTTCGTAGCAATAGGTTATTCCATTAGTTCGGACAAACCAATTTCTTAGTTAAGCTGTTAGTGTCAAAAAGCAGCTTATAATTTGAATGCCCATCCGTGTAGGGTTGAAATTTGAGGGGAGAGCCAAGTGGGTGTGCGATAGACTTACCTCCACGTGGTGCACCCTGGAAATATGCCTTCACTATCAACATCTTATTTGGAAGCGGAGGGGTGTGTGCGATAGACTTACCTCCACGTGGTGCACCCTGGACAGCGTGCGATAGACTTACCTCCACGTGGTGCACCCTGGGCAACTTTCAACCCTTGCTGGTTTTCTAAACAATTATTCTTAAGAATACGATAGACTTACCTCCACGTGGTGCACCCTGGACAACGTACTTTCAAATGGCAGGCGTTATGATAGGTATCATGGGGTGTGCAATAGACTTACCTCCGTGGTGCACCCTGGGCAATGTATATTTAGACTTACCTCCACGTGGTGCACCCTGGGCACCGTATACTCATACGGCAAAAAAGTCTATTAACCGGCAGTTGTTGCGATAGACTTACCTCCACGCGGTGCACCCTGGGCAACCCATCCATACGGCTACCTCCACGTGGTGCACCCTGGGCAACGTGTACTTACAACCTCCATGTGGTGCACCCTGGGCAACGTATACTTATGCGGAAAAAAGTCTATTGACTGGTACTTCAAACTGCCCACGTGGTGCACCCTGGGCAACGTATACTCATACGGCAAACAAACGTGGTGCACCCTGGGCAACGCATACTCATACGGCAAAATGTGGTGCACCCTGGGCAACGTATACTCATAAGGCAAAAAGATCCCTATTAACCGGCAGTTGACTTCTGACTTCAAACTACCATACTATTAACTGGCAGTTGACTTCTCACTTCAAACTACCATCTATTAACCGGCAGTTGACTTCTGACTTCAAACTACCATGAGTACACCCTGGGCAACGTATACTCATGCGACAAAAAAGTCTAAACTGGTGCACCCTGGGCAACGTATACACGGCAAAAGAGTCCGTGGTGCACCCTGGGCAACGTACACTCACACCTTACCTCCACGTGGTGCACCCTGGGCAACGTATTCTCATTCGGCTACCTCCACGTGGTGCACCCTGGGCAATGTATACTCATACACCTCCACGTGGTGCACCCTGGGCAACGTATACTCACGATAGACTTACCTCCAGGTGGTGCACCCTGGACAACGTATACTCAAACGGCACGTGGTGCACCCTGGGCAACGTATACTCATACGGCTCCACGTGGTGCACCCTGGGCAACGTTTACTCATACGGCTCCACGTGGTGCACCCTGGGCAACGTATACTCATAAGGCACCACGTGGTGCACCCTGGGCAACGTGTACTCATACGGCAAGTAAGTCTATCACGTGGTGCACCCTGGGCAACGTATACTCATACGGCAAACAAACTGGTGCACCCTGGGCAACGTATACACGGCAAAAGAGTCCGGGTGCACCCTGGGCAACGTATACTCATACAGCAAAAATCCTCCACGTGGTGCACCCTGGCCAACGTATAATCATACGGTCTTACCTCCACGTGGCGCACCCTGGGCAATGTATACTACACCTTACCTCCACGTGGTGCACCCTGGGCAACGTATTCTCATTCGGCTACCTCCACGTGGTGCACCCTGGGCAATGTATACTCATACACCTCCACGTGGTGCACCCTGGGCAACGTATACTCACGATAGACTTACCTCCAGGTGGTGCACCCTGGACAACGTATACTCAAACGGCACGTGGTGCACCCTGGGCAACGTATACTCATACGGCTCCACGTGGTGCACCCTGGGCAACGTTTACTCATACGGCTCCACGTGGTGCACCCTGGGCAACGTATACTCATAAGGCACACGTGGTGCACCCTGGGCAACGTATATTCATACGGCAAAAACTGGTGCACCCTGGGCAACGTATACACGGCAAAAGAGTCCGTGGTGCACCCTGGGCAACGTACACTCACACCTTACCTCCACGTGGTGCACCCTGGGCAACGTATTCTCATTCGGCTACCTCCACGTGGTGCACCCTGGGCAATGTATACTCATACACCTCCACGTGGTGCACCCTGGGCAACGTATACTCACGATAGACTTACCTCCAGGTGGTGCACCCTGGACAACGTATACTCAAACGGCACGTGGTGCACCCTGGGCAACGTATACTCATACGGCTCCACGTGGTGCACCCTGGGCAACGTTTACTCATACGGCTCCACGTGGTGCACCCTGGGCAACGTATACTCATAAGGCACCACGTGGTGCACCCTGGGCAACGTGTACTCATACGGCAAGTAAGTCTATTAACTGGCAGTTGACTTCTGAGTTCAAGCTATCTTACCTCCACGTGGCGCACCCTGGGCAATGTATACTACACCTTACCTCCACGTGGTGCACCCTGGGCAACGTATTCTCATTCGGCTACCTCCACGTGGTGCACCCTGGGCAATGTATACTCATACACCTCCACGTGGTGCACCCTGGGCAACGTATACTCACGATAGACTTACCTCCAGGTGGTGCACCCTGGACAACGTATACTCAAACGGCACCTCCACGTGGTGCACCCTGGGCAACGTATGCTCACTTCAAACTACTAAATCTATTAACTGGCAGTTGACTTCTGACTTCAAACTATGCAAAATTACATTTACCGACAGTTGACTTCTGACTTCAAACTGCCACTTTATTATTCGGCAGTTGACTTCTGACTTCAAACTACCAAAAGTCTATTAACTGGCAGTTGACTTCTCACTTCAAACTGCCATCACCCAACTTCAAACTGCCCACGTGGTGCACCCTGGGCAACGTATACTCATACGGCAAACAAACGTGGTGCACCCTGGGCAACGCATACTCATACGGCAAAATGTGGTGCACCCTGGGCAACGTATACTCATAAGGCAAAAAGATCCCTATTAACCGGCAGTTGACTTCTGACTTCAAACTACCATACTATTAACTGGCAGTTGACTTCTCACTTCAAACTACCATCTATTAACCGGCAGTTGACTTCTGACTTCAAACTACCATGAGTACACCCTGGGCAACGTATACTCATGCGACAAAAAAGTCTAAACTGGTGCACCCTGGGCAACGTATACACGGCAAAAGAGTCCGTGGTGCACCCTGGGCAACGTACACTCACACCTTACCTCCACGTGGTGCACCCTGGGCAACGTATTCTCATTCGGCTACCTCCACGTGGTGCACCCTGGGCAATGTATACTCATACACCTCCACGTGGTGCACCCTGGGCAACGTATACTCACGATAGACTTACCTCCAGGTGGTGCACCCTGGACAACGTATACTCAAACGGCACGTGGTGCACCCTGGGCAACGTATACTCATACGGCTCCACGTGGTGCACCCTGGGCAACGTTTACTCATACGGCTCCACGTGGTGCACCCTGGGCAACGTATACTCATAAGGCACCACGTGGTGCACCCTGGGCAACGTGTACTCATACGGCAAGTAAGTCTATCACGTGGTGCACCCTGGGCAACGTATACTCATACGGCAAACAAACGTGGTGCACCCTGGGCAACGCATACTCATACGGCAAAATGTGGTGCACCCTGGGCAACGTATATTCATACGGCAAAAAAGTCTATTAACTGGCAGTTGACCTCTGACTTCAAACTACCATCACCCCCCTGTATGTCACATTCGACTACTTCCAAAGTACTCACCTCACCTTTTTTTACTACCTTTTTTACCTTTGTCAATAAAACACTTCTGTCCCCCCCTCCCCCTCTCGACTTTTTTCATTTTGATGTTCCTCCTCCTCTCTGTGACGCCTGACTTTTTTCATTTTGATGTTCCTCCTCCTCTCTGTGACGCCTGAAGTCAACTTAAGGGCTAATGATAACTATCATAAAGCCTGCCATTTGCTATAAATAATTTGAATGCTTTCATTTTCTCCTAGATAATGATCATCTGCCAATTCACAGCTTATTAGTTGCATATCCAATGATGCGGGTGCTGGACTGTATTAATTAATTCTGCACCAGGATAGGCCTATCTACTCGAATCAAATGTCGGTTCAAATGACAGGCTTTATGGTAGTTACCATTAGACCTTTGGTTGACTTCGGGCTTCACAGAGGGGAGGAACATCAAAGTCACAAAAAGTGTAGAAGAGTGATTCACAGATGTAAAAGTGACAGACAGACACAAAGGTAGGGAGTAAAAGGTGAATTGAGTACTGTGGAAGTGGTGGAATATGACATACAGTCAGATCATGGTAGATTGAAGCTAGAAGTCAACTGACGGTTTATAGACTTGTTTGCCATATGAGTATACGTTGCCCAGGATGTAAGTCTCGCGCATCCCAAATCAAATGTTGTGCTCCTTACTTAGGTGGGGATTTGAAATTTTTACGTAGGAATCGAGACTACTGCAAACGTTACCACTTTGCCACCTGAACGTATGCTCCCTTCTTACAAATCGACTGTTTTGCTTGTTTAGGGGTAATGTTCATGTTGACGGTGTGGGTCTTGGCATTGAAAGACCATCGAAGTTAACTGAAGGTGATGATGAGTTCGAGGCCTATCGAAAACGAATGATGCTCGCTTACCGGTTTCGTCCAAACCCCCTTGTACGTTCGTTCCTTTTCCTCTGATGCACCCATCTCTTTGTGTGTCTAATTTTCTTCATCCTTCCTCTTTTAGAACAACCCTCGGAGAGATTACTACTAACCATTTTTGTCGTAGCCCACCATGTCTAAACAATGCCACAGATATATTTCCAATTCCTTTAATAATAATAATGCTAACTTCCAAATTAACCGTCTTCTCTTCCAAAGTTAATTCTATTGTGGATGGTCGTTAAAATTTGCTTCATTTTTTAAGATGCCTCAAATAGGAGATCCAATAGTGAAAAGGAAGTTTCTTTGTCGGAACTGTACAAATCCCATTGAACTCAAATCGGATTTCGAAGAATATGGTAACTCGGCGCTGTCTTCCATGATTGGTGAGTTAAAGTTGTGCATCGTAGTTGATAATTTTGCATCTGATTAACCGGGAGGTTCCTCGGGGTGGTGGTGGTGGTGGGGGGGGGGTAGGTTTGGATATTAGTGGCGAGTTCGTTTTATGTTACCTTCCACGCACACATTTCTATCAAGTAGAGTGGCCATTAATTCCATTTGCTTGTGCGCTAATGAAATATCGATTAATTTACGCCTGCGAAACCAAACGTCAGTAAATGCATATCTAATTGGGTTGGGGGG